CCACCTATTGTTCGAGGGTAGGCACCGTTTAAGTCAGGAGAAAACCCGGGTGTCCATCCGCTGGCCATTGTTCCCGCTTCTTCTATCAACCCCCGCCGCCAGCGAAAGCCCATGATATAGGCGCTTCACTTAGAGGCACACCTCCTCGCTGGGACGTCTATCGAGCTGTTATATAAAGGTATAGAGCGGCGCATTGGTATGTAAAATTATGGCCGGCGCATCCTCCTGTATACAGTATAAATCACAACACAGAATTGCAGAGGTTGCTGTCTCTGTGCTGCAAAGAACCTGTTCTTCCAAGGTAAAAAAATAGCTCCCGAGAGAATAATCGCGGTGACAGACATTCGTTGGAGGGGAGGGGGTTCGGGACGGAAGGCTTTCAGTGACATCGGATTGCCTTGCCACCCATTTCGTAGCATCATGGTTCCTAGACTTCTTACCTAGGATCACGAGGGCACGTAGGGGCCTCCGGCCAAGAGGTCCGTGTTAGGGACGATGTTGTCATTGCAAGCCATGCGGATGGGACCTCGACCACTCTGGCTCGAATAAGGACAGCAGACCTTCCATGCATGAATAAACATTTTTGTTCTAACCCTTTTTTTTACCCACCTGTTATTATTTATAGGGGGGAGCATAGGTAATTCTTTTCTTTCCTTAGGCACCCCCCCCCCCCCCCCCACACACACACACACTTTATCCTGGAAACTCCAGGAAAAGGAAATCACCTCAGAGAAAAGGGAATAAGATGTTGGAAAGAGAACTTTCTTTTCCTCCCATCATGTTGGCTTCTTCGCCATGTATATTTTTTCTTCAATAGGAGACAGGATTAAGCCAGTTTATTAAAAAATGTAATTAAAATATTAACCCAAATCAATTTGAAAGAACGGGCCCAAGCTCTGACCTGGCTTTTACAATTTTTATTTTTGTTACTGTAAAATCAAAACCTAAAAAGAAGAATAAATCAATTACCCGACCTATTGTATGGTCCTTTTCTGGAGGGCAAATCCAGGGCCTCACAGGGGACCACAGTTCAGGTGCCTGAGTCCCCAAGGAGCAGCACTAGCCCGGAGTGATAATAGCCCAGATGTTATCACATCTGGGGCGAGAGAGCTGGAGAGCCGCAAAGGGCTGCTTATGGGAGGCAGAGATCAGATAAATAATTTTCCTGGTCTCTCCCACGCCAAAGGGATCTGTATGCCCACCAATGAGCAGATCTCATTTCTATAAACCTAAATTTGCATTCGCGTTTGATTTTATCTTTTCTTTGGACAATAGCCTGTGTATTTAGCATACTCAGTCACTAATCAAATTCTAAGAGGAGCCCACAGGCGTCACCGTGGCTTTTCTTTTCTTCCTTTCTTTTATTTTCTCTCTGCCCCCACCCCCACCTCCAACCCGCCCCTTGCAGCCCAAGAAGGGAGTAAGAGGAATGTTCATTTGCTGGTGCGAGAAGGAGCCGCGTTTCCATCCATTACATGGTCCCCTAGGAATGCTAAATGTAACTTTATCTCTACGAGAAATGGACGATGAGCAGGACAGCGCTGGAGGGAGTGAGAGAGTCCCACGCAGTGGTCGCAGCGGGTGTCCAGGTTTAACCTAATCCCTTCTGATATCCTTCGCGGCCGTTCTCTGAGCTCTCCCTCAAGGGAAAGTAGGGCCCCCCGCTGCGGGCGAGCGCTGGGATACTAGCACCCACCCAAGCAAAATGCTGACATTTAGGGGCCGTGAAGGGTTCAGGGAGACAGAAACGCAAACAGCACAGATTTGGGCCCAGGTGGACCTCCAGAGAGCAAGGCAAACCCCAGAGTACCCAAAGCTCATCTTGGTTTACCCTCCAAAGCTTGGAGGGCACCAGGAAGCCCAGTGAGTGGAGAGGCACCTGGATTAAGGTCAGGAATTCACTGCCTTAGGAGACCACTTTTAGCTTACCTCTTTGGACACCGGATCCCTTCTTACCTGGAGGGGGCGGGGGGGGGGGTCAGACCTTTGCCCAGAATATCTTGCTTTTCCAGGGGCTAGAAATATGAGGGCTGTGGGCACAGTTCTCAACCCACTCCCCAACCAATTGATTGAGAGTCCATTTAAGGCACATCTTTGTCCACCGTGGCGCTTAGCAAGGTGCTTGTACAGAGTAAAAATGCCCCATACAACAATACGTGTGAATAGGAGGGAAGAGGCCAGGATTAAAGCCGGAGAGGCTTCACCAAGCCAGGGCTACTGGGGGGCAAGCAGGAGGATCACGGACAGGTCTCTTTTTTCCCTAAAAAGGAGATGGAGACTGGCCAGAGGGGTGTGCTGTCCTCACACAGAGCTGTACATCTTGACTTTAGACGTTCTATTTCCAAAATCAATTATTTCATCCCCTCTCTCATTTATTTTCTACCTTACCTTCCTTCCTCAGATGCTTGCTGGGCACCAGTCTGGTCCAACGCAAGACACTGGAGATCAACTGAGTTGTAAAATATGGGTATCTGCCCTCCAGGAGGTGGCCATCTCTGACAGCGAGGCAGCTACAGATGAAGAGGTGTTTATGGTACAGGTGTGACAGGTGCAATGTGAGGTAGAGAAATACAGGGTTGGGTGGGGTGATGGTTGGAGAATTACCCTGCCATATCCCTGCTGGGCATTAGCCCCAGGCTAGCAAGTGGGGCACAGTGGTGGATCTAGAAGCAGGTGTGCCTCAGACCTTATCAAGCCTTCCCCTACTTACCCCAAGGCAGTGAAAGGAAAGGGTGATGGACCAGGGCTCAGCCCAGGGATATGTCACTGTTTTCCCAGTTTGGCAGGTGCAGTAACTAGTTGCCCGCTGCCTGTACTAACGATGCCCACGTGGGGCTGAGCCTTGGCATAGATTCCTGAGCAGGCCCCCACCCCACCCCCACCCCCTCCTCCTTGTTTAATGACCAACACAGACTACCCCCTCCCCCATCTCATAGCTTTGCATTTTATCAAGGGGCGGATAATGAATGCACAGCTATTGATTTCCAAGGAATTTCCACCCCCCGGGGAAAGGGAGTCTATCATCTGGATCAGAGACACATTTCTTTCCCTCATTAATTAATTTTCTCCTCCTCCTTTGGCAGGCCCCACTTAACATTTCCTTTGGCAGAGCCTCTTTCCCAAGCTCAGGGAGCAGACATTCCTTGGTTCCAGTGAGGACCCGCGACAGAGGCGCTGTGTGGGAGCCCGCACTGTTGGGGGGTGACTTCTCCTCGCCTTTGACTGTCCTACCCGCCCGTTTCCCTCTCGCCCCCCCCCCCACCACAAACACACACACGCACACGCGCACACACACACACACACAGACATAGGCACAGGGGCACACACACACGAGCACACCATTTTCAGAGAGGCGTGCCTGACAGCTGCGGCTGCCTTTCTCTTTCAAAAGGGGCTGGGGGGAAGTTAGCGCTAGACTCAGGAACCGCGACCTGCATACTCCCTCTCCTTCCATTCGTTGCAGTTATTTGTCCAGATCCAGCAAGTTTTTTGGCCGTTTGAAATGTTCACTTAAGTGCGCGGAGGTTGTGTGGGCACAGGAGAAAGGGATAGGGACCCACGTTCTTGCCCAAACCCGGGGATCGGGCCCTACCCCAGGCGGGGCCACCTCAGGTTCCGGTGGCCCAAGGGGGAGCTCTGCTCCTCCCAGACTCGGGACCCCAGGTGACCCTCCGGCAGTTGTACAGGTTGAAACTGGGCATTCACCGCGTGCAGGGGAAGCCCCCAGAGTCCAGGGTCAGCCGGTTTCAGATGAGGCTTGGGTTGTTTTAGGCAGTGGGAAGAGGCAGGCATAGAGGAGCCGGCCTGTGGTGGTGGTGGTGATGGTGGTGGTGGTGGTGGTGTGTGTGTGTGTGTGTATGGGGGGGGGGGGGTGTTTCTCGGAAGAGGGGTTGCACTAGGGCGGTCCTCACACGCCCCAGCTCGGACACTGTCCGAAGGGTGAGCTAGAGGAGGGACTGACAAGGTGCTTTCCACTCCGGGTTCGCCTTCTCAGGGCCACCGCCTGGGCTGTTTTGATCTTTTGATCCTTGGCTCTCAGCGCTACCCTCCCGCATTCCGACTCGGTCCCTACCCAGGCAAGAAGCCTGGGCTCCTCGCCGGCCCTGCCAAGGGCCCTCGGACCGGTCACCACAGCCCGCAAGGCCTGGGCGCCCACCTCTGCCACCTGCAGGGCCCAGCTCAGCCCAGGGAGCGTCCAGAAAGAGTCGCG